TATCTAAAAAAATGAATAGGTGTGCGAACACGCATTTTACTTGAAAAGACTTAAACTCCCCATTTTTGCTCTGGAACAACTGATCCAGTTGCTGTTTCGCTTCTCTGCGGAGCCTTCACTACGTTACTGGTTTGTAAACTGTTTGAAAGCCTCTTTTACTTAATCTATGTGTCATAGTACTTAAGAGAATTATAAGCTAATCATTTTGACTGACTACTTTATACAGCCTATTATATGGCATCTTAACTGGAAGAGAAAGATTGTCAACGCAGAGGCACACCTGAACTCTAGTGTGAAATGCAAGAAAAAATACATGGTGCCAGACTTACATATATCCGTAATCTCTATTACCTGGGTGCATAATAAAACAAATGACCTTTTGTGACCTTGGGACACAAAATTTTTTTTCTTTTTTGCTTAATTTTATTTTCATATTATCTATATCATATATATATATTTATATATTAATGTGATATTATGGCACATTATCAAATTTTTTCCTAATTTATCTGTTAGTATAACATTTTGTATATGCATTTTATGTAAGTTAATTTGAAAGAGTTATCGATTGAATGGTATGACTGTTGTCACCTTTTATTCAATGTGCTAAAGGACAACATATTGTGTTTGTTAATAAAACTGCATGAACTCTGAAGATGATATTTGAGCCTAAGACTTTTAAAGTATCTTATCAAAAAAAAGAAACTACCCAAATAACCTTCAGTCAAAAACTCTTAATATCTAAAAATTGGTTCATTCAAATACCATAGATCATGTGTCATCAAACCATTTTTTGAATTCATTGGGAAAATAATTAAGTTTGACCGAATTAAACTGGAATGGATATTGTATAAAAAGATCATGTCATATCTATATAAACGTTGCATGGATCAAATAAAAAAAATATACACACACACGGAAATAATCTATTGATTATATGACATTTATCAAAACAATAATTCTGTTATATATGTATCTAATATGGTATATTATCTCTTTAATGTTTATTTTACACAGTGATAATAAAATGGGATTTTCTTACTATATAAAATTATATAAAATAGAAAACGAAATAAGCGTAAGATATAATATATATAACATATATATATGTATATATATATTGAATTTATAATGCCCTTGACTTTAGCAATTATATGTGTTATATACAAATTTTCTTTTTTTTATTAAATAATAGAATTGTAATTAATTGTTGAACTGCAGTATGTGCTAAACACCTGACCTTCACTTGTGGGTTCAATACCTGAGCTGATACCTATGTAAGTGCTTAATAGGTTTTGTTATAGCTGAAGTTTAGATTTTTCTTTAAAAAATAAAAATGTTAAATAATTTTTCATTTTTCTTAAATGTTCTATATTTTTTAAAATTATTTTCATTAGTCTATTTTTTGTGTTTTATAATCATTATCATTGCATGTTGTTCAATTATCTTTGCCGCTTTCGGTTTTTATATCGTAAAAAAAACTGAAGTCAGCATAAAAAATTTAGATTAATTTTTTTTGTTACTATATCTGTTATTTATTATGAGTTTGAACTTTGCTTTTTTATAAACAAAATAATAACGGAAGCATTTAATATGATAAAATGATATTAAAACTTGAACTTAACTAAACATATGACATATAGACTTAAGATATGTGCTTAAGAAAAGCATTTGAGATAGAAAGAAAATTATGTATCACCCTCGAAAATTTCTCTGCACTTAAAGTAGAATAAACATTAGGTCTTACTTTCTACTCTTGTATGAAATTTGCTTTAATACTAATTTTACCTTAAACCGTATCAATTGCATTAATTGAATTGGTATAAACCTTTGACCTGGTGTTAATATCATATCAGTTCCAATTGCTTCAACAGTTTCTGATTTCAAATCAACAGGTCATTATAAAATCATGAATTTGTTGAAATTGGACCAGCCCTGTTTTAAAACAGAGTTTTAATGGCGAAATCTTAACAATTAAAATAAAATTGCAAAAGTAAAACAATTGCATATGTTTAATACAAATATTATCTAATATTTTATTTAGTCAGTACCACTGGTATATTGATATTTCTCTGCTGACGAAACTGACACTATAAATCACTCCTTCCACCTGTAGTTTTATATACCGCAGCAACATGAACTATATCGCAGAATAAGACTGTAGCAGACGAAGAGTTCGGGAAAAAAGTTTCTTATAACATCTTTATATCTACACAAATAGACGGCGAATGACCTCTCGATTAAATCATGAGCTACATTACATTTGCTACGATATTGCCATTCTTCAGATAACTAATACTCATTGTTTTTCTTGACTTGTATATATCGGAAGATAATGTCCTAACGAAAAAAATCTTTGTAGTGGTAATAGAAAACAGACGTAGTAGTAGATTTTGTCATTGAAGGAGTAATGAAGCTGTGGAAGTACTAACTGGGGAAGTTAGTGTACGAAATTGAGTTAATATTATGTTATATATTACAAGTACTTGATTTTTTTGAGTTATAAGTATCTTTATTAAAAAGTTAATTAAATAAACTCTCAAGACAAAGAAACAAATATATAAAATTATATATATAGTTAAACTAAAGCACTACAAAACGGTTTCTAGTATATCACTTTCATAACAACTAATTTAAATATTTCAAAAAAGAACGGGATTACACAATATCGACAAACATTGCAAATTGATTGAATAATTTTAATCAATAAGCTTCTATCTTACAGGTCAATAAGTTAAAGAAAACGTAATAATATTATCTCATTGTGTAAAGTATTATGTTATAATTATTCACACAGAGGAAAAAAACTTTAGTGTAAATATAATGAACTGTGAATATCAAGTTTCTAGTGATATTATTAATTTTGGAAATATTCAATCAATCGTAATTTTTATATAAAAACAAAATAATAGAGAAACCAAAGACTTATATAAAAATATGAAAATACACGCTTATTAATAATTAATTTTATTGTTGTAAATTTTATTGTTGTAGAAACTGCGTTTCAAACAATACTTGAAAATATGCTCATTACATCAAAATTAAGTAAAATTAAGTATAAATTCTTTAAATTAGTTCCATAGATTAGTTGCTTCATCAAAATATTTGTTAAGGACTCAAAATTTTTGAAAAGGCATTATACTTTAGTTCGATACCCATAAATACACATAAAGACTGTAAAATCCATTGTGGTGCCTTCTCGTGGACTAAAATCTTAAACTTAGAAAAATTTAAATAAATTAAGTTAGAATATAAACAAAATGTTAATATAAATATGATGAATTTGATAACATATATACTATTATTGTAGTATAATATATTTATTATTAAATATAATTAATTGAATTTCAGATAAACCAACAGACATCTTTTTTAATAATGCACAGTGGGTTCAAATAAATAAGTGTAGTAACCCCACATTGTTTTATCCTAAAAACACTACTAGAGTAAACAATTGAAATAATTGCTAAAGAGTACAACTGTACTTTTACCATAAGAACTATCCAATAAATTTTTAAGGAATTTATTACCTCTACGGTCAGTTACAA